ACTTGCAGATCTTTGACTGAAAATTTAGTTGAAAGATGGAAAGTTCAAATCTCACCGTACAGTTTGCACAATAGATTGAACAAGCATCTCTTTATAGATTAGCATCAGTCATGACTGGAATGAATTTATTCTTCCCGAATGATGGAAATTGCATTGTATGTAAATATGCTTTTAGTAGTGGGTTGAATTTCTCTAAATAGTAGAGCTAAATCTGAATAAGATGTTTAATCAAAAGTGTAATGATTAACATGGATTTTGATAGATGGGTGGCAGTGCAGAATTCTCTTACGTTCAGAGCTCTATGATTAACATGAATTTTGATAGATGTGTGCATGTGTGTGTCAATGATCAGTGGCCCTAGCTTTGAGGTCCAGAGCTCTATAGTTGCATGATGAATGTTTAATGCTTTTTTTAAGTTGAAGTTTTCTGGACACCATTATAATGTTGACATTCATCTAATCAATGATTAGCTATAATGCTGTCATTTTCATTTTGTTTTGGCCTGTCATGGAAGTATATATCGATTGATAAAAATCTTTCTTCCCTTGCAGTGTCAATCTTTGGTGGAAGAATTGTCAGCTTCTCACTCAAAAGATCTGCAGCAGCGTGCATATGAATTGCAAGCTGTCATTAGCTTAGATGCTCCTGCAGTTGAGAGTATTATGCTGTCAGATGCAAGTTGTGAAGACATTGAGGTCATATTTAATTGCATTATCTACTCGTACCCTTCTTTTTTTTGAGATATATCAAATAGAATCCTTGATGAATATAAATTAGGTATAAGGAAAGTGAACTAATGTATGTCTCATTAAAAAATGTAGTTGCCTTGTAAATTGTTCTAATAGGACGTACCACTTTTCCACGTCATGATAATGTACTTTCTCATATGGAGAGAGAGAGTGGTGGTGTGGTTGTGGAGCGACGATGGAGAGAGAGAGCGATGAGAGGAAGAGAGCGCAAGAGAGCTGCGCGAGAGAGAGAAGAGAGAGGGAAATAAGTGGGCAATAAGTATCTATTTATATGAAGGGTAGCTTGGTACTTTCAAGTTTCAAAGTGATTATATCAGATTAAAGTTTGTAAAGTGATTAGATGAGAACAGGGCTTTGCCAAAGTGACTATATGAGCCAATTCCCCTTTTTTCTTTTAGTTTCCTGCTAAAAATAATGCATTATTATTAGCAATTATACTCATAATTGTAAGAGGTCTACTGCCATTTATGCCACTTTATTTTGCTTTCCATGAGAGAAGATAAGATTTATTAACTTGCAGATCTTTAACCGAAAATTAAGTTGAAAGATTGAAAGTTGAAATTTCATCGCACAGTTCGCACTCAGGATTGAAGAGGCATCTCTTTATAGATTATCATGTGTCATTACTGATATGAATTTATTCTTCCCGAATGATGGAAATTGCATTTTATGTATACATGCTTTTAGTAGTAATGATTAACAGGGATTTTGATAGATGAGTGGCAGTGCAGAATTTATGTTGAAATCCCCAGTAGCATGGGAAAAAAGGACTTGTATGCATTTAGAATCTGGTTTAGTACTGGACATCTGCATTGCGGATGTCATCGAATCTACATTCGTTTAAGCCGCTGTTTAATTCACTCAAGTTGGAATGTGCGTGTATGTTATTTTTGCTTTTTCATCCGTTCACCGGCCCTTGCTTTGAGGTGTACGTAAAAACGTGTGCGTGTGTATGTCAATGATCAGTGGCCCTTGCTTTGAGGTCCAGAGCTCTATAGTTGCATGAATGTTTAATACTTTTTTTTTTAAGTTGGAAGTTTTGTGGACACCATTATAAGGTTGACATTCATCTAATCAAGGTAAGCCATTGAGCCCTGAAAATAGAACCCTGAAAACTATAACATATACCCGAGATGCACAGCAAAATATTGCTAAATTTGAATTGAACACGAAACGCAGATATATGACCAGAAAATACAAAGATATCATTCAAATGGATTTACATGGGCTCCTCACTAAGATCAATGCGCCTCCTCTTTGGGTGATCCGCTGGTCCCGTAAACAAGGTAAGCCATTGAGCTTCATGATCTCCAACGTCGACGACGTTAGCACGATGATCATCATCAAGTACCATGAAATCTGATCTGCGAGGCATCTTGCCAAGACTAGTCTCTGATGCTGAAGGCAAGGAAAGCAATTCGTAGTCTTGGTGTTGATCATCATGAATATCATCCAGCTTCATAATGTTTACATTCATCTAATCAATGATTAGCTATAATGTTGTCATTTTCATGGAAGTATGTATCGATTGATAAAACTCTTTCTTCCCTTGCAGTGTCAATCTTTGGCGGAAGAATTGTCAGCTTCTCACTCAACAGATTTGCAGCAGCGTGCATATGAATTGCAAGCTGTCATTAGCTTAGATGCTCCTGCAGTTGAGAGTATTATGCCGTCAGATGCAAGTTGTGAAGACATTGAGGTCATATTTAATTGCATTATCTACTCGTACCCTTCTTCTTTTTTGCTTCTCCTTTAAAGTATTGAGAGCTATAGTAGTTCTGCATTTCTCTTTTCCTTGTTATTTGGTGGTTGTTGGCTTACTGTATGAACTTCCTGTTTTCTAATGGTAAAGTCTAACGGTTGTTTAACCTTGTGATTGCATTAACCTTGTAAATGTAAAGTCTAATGGTTTTTTAATATTTACAAAATGTATCTTTTGGAAAGCATTTGTTGAGATATATCAAATAGAATCCTCGATGAATATAAATTAGGTATAAGGAAAGTGAACTAATGTATGTCTCATTAAAAAATGCAATTGCCTTGTAAATTGTTCTAATAGGATGTACCACTTTTCCACGTTGTGATAATGTACTTTTTCATATGGATACATTATCTTTGGTGCAACATAATTCAGTTTTTCAGATCATGATTGCGTTTGTGTTTCACAGATACGTTATTATGAATCATAACACTGTATAGATCCAGAAGAATATTTTCCAAAATAGAAATACTATGAAAAATGAACATGTATCCTAACTGACCGTGAATGCGGAAGGAATAGCTTTGCTTGCTTCCTTGTTAAATATGCCCTATCCGTACTACTTATGGGATGAAGTTTGAGAAAAAGTAAGGGCCCATATCTGACAATTGCAAGGGCATTAGTGATATTTTTTTAAATACTGAACAGTCAGCCTCTATAAATAGGCAAGCAAATCATTAAATGAGGGAGATTTTTTTGGTCCAAAAGAAAAAGGCCATTGTAAATGTTGACTGAAAAATAATCTGACTAGATACCTTACTCTGTTTAAATGTTGACCTTCCGATATTTTATTTGGTAAATTTTGAAAATGTGCTATGAATGTATAAGTTATCAACTGCACAGGTTTTAATAGGGTCAGCAAATTATTGCTTTCCCTTCTTTTATCATTCTCGTGTATGTATGCATGCATGGATCAATGTGAAGATAATAATCTTCACGTCCCAATTGTGATAATGTCAGTTATCATTATTAAATTGTACATGGGTTTCTGAAGCCTTATTATTGCTTGACACTTAGTATTATGCTCGTGCTGGTGGCACTAATTGTAGATTTCCCTGTAAAAAAAGATTGCTTTGTTGTAGTTTTGGCGCATATAAACATCATGATATAGATCTTGTGGTTGAGATTGTGAAAAATTCGGAATCAGTTTATGAATGATTAAAATTGCTTATTTGACCAACATGATCATATTAGAGCATCTCCAGCGCCAGACCCAAACTGGGGGAAAGGCCCCCTGACGAGCCCAAGAGACCTCTAGCGCAGGAAATCCAGCCCTGGCAAGGCGTGGGACCCACCAGCCCTTGCAAGCCCACAGGCAGAAATTGACTGGGCTGTTGCCCTCGGGTTGCTGACGTCAGCAGCTGATTTTCAATTATTTTTTTTTACTTTTGGACCCACCAGCCCACATTGCAATGGTTACAAGCCATGTTGCTTCTCCTGGAGCCTCCGATAAAAAAAATCTTGCACAATCCAACGGTTGTCCAATTTTTGGCTAAAAAAATTTGAAAAAAATATCAAATTTTTTATAAAAAATATCAAAAAATTATGGAAATTTTTTCTATACATACCTACCAATATTATTCACTTTCCACATCAATTTAATTTCAAAATTTTATTCGAAAATGTTATCTTGATTTTTAGGTGAGGATTTTACGATAAATATTAACACTTGGGAATTGAAAATCTTATCAGAAAAACTTATCAAAATCAATGTTTTAAGTATAAAAAATAAAAAATAAATTTAAGTGAATAGTAATTGCCTTAGACTTGCCCTAGACTTAGTCCTCATGGGTGGAACCACAAATGGCAAGGTTGACACTATTTATGTGAATAGTGGCAGCCCTTACTTGCCCTTGCCCTAGACTTAGTCATTGTGGGTGGAGATGCTCTTATATAGGCGAAACTTAATTTATGTACAGTACAAGAAAATGGGCTTCAGTTGACGCTTTTCGCAAAACCATCACCTATTCTATGAAGCTTTGATGCTTTTTAAAAAGTGTCAACTATATAGTAGGTTTTCATGACGTTTTACAAGAAACGTCGACTATAGATCACTTTGCTTGACATTTAATAAAGAACGTCAACTCTATATCACTTTTTGTTGAAAATTTATAAAAAACGTCAATTAAAACCCTTGTATACCTGACACTTTCTAAAAAACACCCTTAGGAAAAAGTGAAAAAGAGAAAAAACAAAAGCTGACACTTCAAACTAAAAGTTAGTCTAAGACCACCCAAAAAAAAAAAAAAAAAAAAATGAAGATAGCATTAAGTTATAGCAGAGGAAACGCTATAAGAAAAAAAAGAAAAAAAGCGATTGTGGGCGGGCACTCAAAATAAAAGCGGGATCTGATTTTTTACGAGTGAAACCCCAATTTTCCAGAAGCTCTCTCTCTCTCACTCGCACTCTCGCTCTCTCACTTTCATTTTCATTATCGCTCTCTCTCTCCCCTCTATCGTTCCTTCTCACTCTCACAATTTCTCTCCTCTCTTTCGCTCTTTCTTTCTCACTCTTGCTCTGCCTCTCTTTCTCTATCGCTGTGGCTAGCTCGTGCTCTCTCAGTGGCTCGCTCACCCCTCGCTCAGTCTCTCTTCCTCCATTGTAAGCCCTAATTATGTTTTTTTGTAATATATATTTTCGAATTATATAGAAATTGAGGAAGTTTCTGAAAAAAGAATTTCTAGGTCTTTTTCTGGGAATATGATTTGTTTTTTAGGTTTAATTTTTTAATTTTTATGGATTTTAAGTTGAAGAGTGTGGTAATGGTGATGCTTGTTATTCTTTTCTCGGTCATCCAGTTATAGATGAAGCCATTTACACTTATCTAGCCTTTTCTCTATCTTTTACTTATCTGAATTTGTATACATCCAGTTCTTTGCATAATTGCTACTTTTTGAGGACTCTTATACCGAATTGGAAGAGCACTTGAAATGTTTGGTCTGCTTTCATTCACTGATATGAATTCGATGTTTTTGGGGGTTCAATTTTTTTATGTATCCAGGGTTCTATTGCTTGCAAAAGGGACTGCCGTCCAAAAATCATTTTCTTGTTCCATTATTTGCTCTACAAGCACCAGCTACTGTAATCTCGTGGTTTAAGTAAGCCTTTCAGTTTTTTGTTTTTTTGGTAACCTATGGATCACATTTGCCATTTAAGTTTAAATGCATAACTTTGCTTGCAGGAGCGCATAGCTTTGCTTGATGAGAAGAATATGTGAATATTACTCTAAGGTATTTTCTTTAATTAAAAAACCTACTTTATTGAGATTGATTTTTTAACTTCTTGTCATTATTCTACTAAATGCTTGTGAAGGTTGCCTCTTTTTTGGGGTTTTAATGAAAGCTACTTAACAACCAAACTATAAAAGCCTCTGTTAGTTTCTTTAATTTCCCTTTAGTCTCTGCAATTTTTGATGTTATACTGGTTCTCTATTTCTTTCTAGTCTATAGATTCATTCACCATTTGTCTTTTGCTTTGTTTGATATTTTGGTTGAACCGTTGGCAAGTGTTATTGCTAACTAAGTGTTATTGTTTTCTAGTTGAATTCCATAACATGTGCTCAAAATGTAGGTTTTTTAATTTGTATGGAGATTTGTTTTTAATAGCCAATTTACTTCTTGTAGCTTTTTCCCAAACTTTTTGTAGTCATGAGGAATCTGGATCATGTGGATAGCCTCTCCCTCTCACTTCCTGCCTCTTACCATTTCCTTTTCCTCAAAACAATCCAAGCCTATGTTTGAATACTCTAAATTAGTATAAGTGACTTTATGTTATTTTGCATGTATAAGTTTATGCAAATCTCTATCTCGAACAAAGTACAGGTTGCTTGACATCTATGTATTTGGATAGAATCCTTGGTAGAAAGTCAATCAATGTGCTCATATTTGACATATGTTTTTTGATCCTATAGGAAAGAAATAACTGAATGGGGGTTGGCGCTTGGACTAGCATAATCTCATAGTTTGGTTTAATTTGGATTTGTGCATTTGTTATGTTCTAAAGGCGTATTGCTGCTGCATTTGTTATATTTTGAATGTTTACGTATTTGTGATTTCCATTGCCTCTTTCTCTCTGTCCTGCGCCGCCTCTCCTTCAACCCCAATTCTTTCTTCACTCTTACTTTTCCTTTCGACTTTTCTTGATTCTTTAGTGTTTTCTGTTGTCTAACACTTCCTATTCTTCTTTCAAATCCTTCAGCTCCTTGGCATGTACAATCACAACAACGTAACCTTCATCGGCCTTGACCTCGCTTCACGATTATGCCTTCTTCTTGCTTTAGTCTTCAGTCCTTTTCCTTTTTTTCTGTGTTCATGTTTATAGATCTTTTTATTTTTTTTATTTTTATGTCTTCATGTTTATATAACTAATTTTTCATTTTGATGTGCGTCTCTTCTTGATTCTCAGCGTTTTGGACAGAGTTGGGGTTAGATTCTTCTTTTCATGCTGGGTACTACTGTTGTTGATATATTTTTCACGAATTTCAGTTCTGTTATTTGTTTTTTTAATTTCCAAGGTCTTGCTGGGAAGGCAACAAATCAATATTATGGAATGATTTGAGGTAATCCCTAATGCCTTACAGGAAACGTATTTATTTCTCACAATTTATTATGTTTTAGATCTGGTTCCATTTCCTCTTTTAATTTTAGTTCTCTTTGTGTGTGTTCCATTTCCTCCTTTAATTTTAGTTGTCTTTGTGTGTGCGCGTGTGCGCATGTGTGTGTGTGTGCGCGCGCGTGTGTGCGTGCATGCGTGTGCGTGCGTGCGTGTGCGCGTGGCATTTTGTGGTATGATAGGAATAGGGTCATGAGAGAGAATCGCAGACATAAGATGGTGTGCGCTACATATAATTTCCCTCACTCTCAAATTAAGTTGTAAAGCAACCGAAGCCTTGGGTATCACAGATGAAGATGCATTTTCATGTTTATTACGGTTGGTCTTGTTTGCTCTTTGTAGAAAATGCAAAAGTAGCTGTTTTGGGATTTTTTCAATGAGCTGTTAATTTTCTTTCAGAAATAAGTTTTCCGCATTTGATTTTTTATTCTAATAACGCAAGATTTTTTTTCACTTTTGTTTTTTTGTTTTTGTTTTTTTGTTTTTTTGCAGATTTTAGATTATGCGAATGTCGTAGCTGACATTCATGCAGATGCTAATCTAGGTATCACTCAGTGTAATGCTTTAATATTTGATATGCCTTAAGACTTGGAAAATCTTGAAGAGTGAGTATATGAGATGGAGAAATTGAATAATCCCTTTCTTTTCACTTCAGCAGTATCTAATTGCTTCAAAATCACCAACAAGCTCAAGAATAAAAACACTGTTCAGTTTCAAAGACAATTGTGTTGTTGAGGCTTGAGAGTTATATTGTTTCTAAGCAGATTAAATGATATTATGTGTTGGTTTTGGGATTTCTCAATAGGGTCATTTCTTGTAACTTGGCATTCTCTTCTACTGAGAAACATTCATGCATTTGCATAAATGAATGCTTTTATGCAGAGGTTATTGTTGTTATAATACTCTCTGTGGCAATATTTAAATTGGCTTTTAATTTTCCAGTCTGTGCTGGTACCCAACTTTTGCATGAAGAAGAAAGCTCAGGGAATTGGATTTATGTTTTTTTTGGTAATTGTGTTGATAATTTTTCTCGCTGGTAAGAATTTTGAGTTTCCTCTCGTTATAGAATTCCAAATAACTGGCGAAACTTAATTTATGTAGCTGCCTTTGGTTGGTACTAATACCTGGATGTTAATCAAGTGATTCTAATTGGTATTACACGACATGCTTTAATTAGTTTCCCGACTTCTTCGTCCCTGGTCCTTGCATCTTATTTCTTCCCTTTAATTATAAGTTGCTCTTTTCATGGATTTGGCAATTGTATTTCTCAGATATGCTTGAAAACCTTGATTTTGGATCATGCGGAAACCATTTATTTATTTATTTCTTGAATAAGATTATTTTGTGTAATATTAATATTCTTCTTCTCTTGCAGCTTGATAAAAGCCTTTCATTCCTCAATGGCCAAGGCTAAGTTAGCCCTATATTCCCGAGAATGAGCGCTCTGGAATGTTAAATATCAGCAACGTCAGGAACCAAGATTAGCATGAAGCTTTAACCCATGGTCTTAGGTTTGAGGCATATGAGCTCCAAAGCCAGCAGTGCCATCAAGAATTCCTCCAGCTGCAGTTGCATCCTCAACCGAGCTTGTTCCAGTTCCTGAACCATCTTATGCTAGGGAGATCTGCCAGCCTGCATCATTGCCACCTGTGTCAGATGCAGGATCATCGGAACTTAAGTTACGACTAGATGGTGTTCGAAGAAAATGGGGTAGGCCAACATATTCCTCCCCAGCATTGTCGATCTCAAATTCCTCTAGCTCTAGTTCCCAGAAATCAGCAAATGGGGTCACACAAGTAGATAGCGTGAGCACTTCAAATTCAAAAGCACATGATACTTAAGAGTCAAGGAGGCCCCAAGTTGAAATTTCTCCAGAAAAGCAGAGGCTTGCCCATTCACTGTTTGGGGGATCATCAAAAACCGAGAGGAGGCCATCTTCTGCCAACCATAAGGTGTCTAAGGCGAATAGCCATGCTTCAGAGAAGCCCCAGGTACCAAAGGCAGCAGCTGTACACACTGAAGTTACTCATGAACCTTGCTCCAGACTTGCTCGATTTGGGTGAGTCAACTAGTAGTACTGCTCCCACTGTAGATCCTTTCAAGCAGTTAGAAGGGCTTCTTGCTTCTTGATCAAACTGAAGTTGCATTAACTGCAAATCATGGTGCAGCTGGTGCTGCTAAGACACCTGATATTATGGGATTATATGCGGATAATCACTCAGCGTGCTCACAGTGTTGGCGACCCTTTGCCGACCAATAGGGATGAGTTTAATCTTGCATCTGAGTTAGCAAATGCTACAAGAACTGCTCAAAGTGGGGTAACACAATTGAATAAGGGTCCTAACCCTAAAGATTCCTTGGAAAGGATGCGCTTGTAAGGCAGATGGGTGTGACCCCGACAAGTCAGAATCCCAACTTGTTTAAAGATTTGCTTGGCTAAAACTGTTCAGAATGGCGAACTTTCGATCATTATTGTTCGAGAGATTATTTGCTTTGTGGTATGTGCATGATCTTTCGGTGTGGCTGGCTATATGATAGGAAATACAACTCAATTCAAACAAGTTTCAAGGCCACCATGCAGAGCTGTAAAGGCCCATACACCAAGAATGGTGGCAAAAATGAGGTATAGGCTTTTGTATTTGTTGGACGGGGGCTTATGTAGGAATATAACCAAGTTGGTGATGCTTGAATATGTTGTTTTGAGCCAATTCAATGCAGAGCTTTTTCTTTGCGGCAATGTGGGCAGTTTTGCAGTGCTCCAGGGACACATGGTTCTGACGTGCATATTTGTCTACATTGACACTCTTGTGTGCCGCTCTCTTGTAATAATGCTGTATGAACTGAATTTTTGATTTTGTTTTGTAGGGACATTTTACCTGTTTGTCATAAGTTTTACTTGGTGTCAGTTCACATTGTAAGTTGTAGTGGTCATGCAATGAAAATAATAATGTGCTTTTGTGAACAAAGAAAGAAGTTATAATTCCTGGCGTCTATGTCCTAGTTTCTAAAGCCAAATTCTTTTTGGGTAAATGGAGCCATTGGAGATGTTAGCCCTACCAGGGCTGTTCAAACAGCAACTGGTATTCAAAGATCCAAAATCTATTCGCAAACTAGACAGGAGTTCGAAAACAACATAATATGCATGATACTATTGCTGCTCATCAAGCTTTTCATTTCATGTCTTTGCATGATTATCAAAAAGATCTTGAACAACTATACCAGCAACTTGACATGATTTAGACGTGCTAGGATTCTTGTACCTTGCCAATACCAGCAACATCACTAGTAACTGAAAATGGTATCTCAGAAACTGCGCCTCCACACACCTCTTGATTACCATACCATTGCCCGGAAATTTGGTTCGTTTCGACAGCTGAACCTGGGGCTCACATAAACCACTTTGGAACCTCATTGCCTGAAAATTTAACATCGAATGTAGAGTGCTAAGAAAAGGGATTTAACCCAAAACAAAAAAGAAAAAAAATTCACCCTGAAAACTACAACATATACCCTAGAGATGCATAACAAAATATTGCTAAATTTGAATCGAACACAAAATGCAGATATATGACCAGAAAATGCAAAGATATCATTCAACATTTAATGGATTTACATACTTTGGCTCCTCATTAAGATCAGTGTGCCTCCTCTTTGGGTGATCCGCCTCTCCTATTTGAGCTTCATGATCACAAACATCGAGGACGTTAGCACGATGATCATCATCAAGTACCTTGAAGTCTGATCTGCGAGGCCTCTTGCCAAGACTAGTCTCTGACGCTGAAGGCAAGGAAGGCAATTCGTTGTCTTGGTGTTGATCATCATCATCATCGTCAACATCGTTGTCATCATCATCATCATCGTCGTCGTCGCCTGCCATCGCAACAGGCAATAACCACTGCCTTTTCCTACGATCAACTGTGACATCAGCAACTTGGTGGCCAAATAGGTGGACCCCGCCGAAGATTTTAACAGGTGTGGTCACGTCATAGAACTCAAATATAATTTCACACTTAGTACCCTGCTGCAACCACGTCAGTTCTTCCCCCACAAGTAACTTGCTCAGTTTCAATAATGGAATACATTTAAGAGCCACATGAGTTTCCTCTGCCTTCATCAATGTCGATTGGACCCCTTTTCCATTGATAAGAACAAATGAGTGTCCTTTATTAACAACACATAGAACCAATCTTAACGTCTCCCAATCTAAATTTGGAGGAATTTCAAAACAACCTTCAAATCGAGCATATCTAAATTTGGGGTAATATTCAACTGGTGTTACATCTTCACAACACCGGAACCACTTTGGAATTTCATCGCCTGGAAGAGTAATTTGAAATTCAGAATGCGGAGAAGATACCTACAATAGAATTTGTTACAACAATCATCATGTTAACCATATAACATAGAGGGAGAGACAAAGAGAGAGACAGAGAGAGAAGAGATAGAAACCTGATCCAGAATACTATTTTCTGTGATGTGATAGCCACGTAATCTAACACAATTGATCAAACTCAGTTCCTTATTCTCAACCTCCGATGATAGTGGCAATTTTGGAATTTTTTCCAATGATGTGCAGTTATCCAGGCATACCCGACCTACTCTTGGTGGAAGCACTTCTTGTGGAATTTTTAGAAGACTCTTGCAATTACTCAAGTAAAGCGCCTCCAAGCTCACAAATTTGCTAATGCATTCCGGAAGCGTGACAAAATTGTTTCCACCAAGATCAAGTTCTCGTAATGTGGACCAGCAATGAAACCTTGTAAGATTGAAGCATCCACCAAGACCCAATTCTTGAAGCCCAGTAAGATATGCAATTGATAGAGGCAATTCTCTTATGCCATTTCCTGATATGTTCAAATTCCGTAGTGATTCCATCTCGACTTCTATTTCTGGGAAACTCTCAAGCCTTTCACAATAATTTACAATAAGTGTTTCTAAGGATTTCAATCTAAGTGTTGTTCCAAACCTCATAAGCTTAACGCATCCATAAAGAGTCAATTCAACAAGTTTATCAAGGTATCCAACATAATCGTCGACCTCAACCAAACTTGTACAGTTGTCTAGATGAAAGTACTTTATGTTTGGGATTCCGGATAAGTCTGGGATTTTTTCTAAGAATTGACAATCCTTCAATATCATTGATGTCAGGTTTGGCAAATGCTGCGAGAGAAGAACACAAAAACATGAAATAATTAATCACACGCTTCAAAAGACAAAAACTTCGAAAACAATTTTCCTCTTTTTCCTTATGAAATTAACAACACTATTTGAAATTATATATAATAGATGAAAATAATTTCAAATGCATACCTTAAATCTCTCCAATTCTCTGATATCACTGTGAGGCATTTTGAACACAGCAAGAAGCTTTCCAAGAAAATTGGATGGCAAAGATTGTAACTGATATCCATGCCAATCAATCCATCTTAACGCGTTGGGCAGATAGGTAATGTCCCCACATAGAGATGCATTAAGGTTTATGAAAATTTGAAGATTTACCATATTACGGAAGCATTCTGGATTCAAGGTTATCTCAGTTGGTTCTGGAAGCTTCACCATGATGCCTTTAATATTTCTTGTTCCCTAAGATGGAAAACATTAATTAGGAAACGAAGTCATTGCAAACCAAAACGCAAGCACATTTTGTTAAGAAAAATTAAGGTAACATAAGGTATTCTTTCTTGTCAAATTGAATATAATAACATATGTGATACTTACTGTACAATCCGTTAGAACTTGTTTGACATCCTCGTGAAACCACAATCTACTACGCTGGCCAGGATCATTGGGGGATTCTTTGTGAACTATATCCTTGCCTAGGTTTGCTAGCAAGTCGTGCATTAAAATCTTACTCCATTCAATAGTTATCAATGCCTTATCAATGAATTCTTCAATGAATTTTTTGGGTACCATTTGTAGCACATAGTGCTCATATTCACCCTTGAAGAAACATGCAATGTGAAGAAAATATTCTTTTGCGCGATGATCCAAGGCATCATAACTTTTTTGAAGTATTCTTTCAATATGTGTATAAGGTTCTCCTTCATAACCATCTAATATAACTTCCCAACTTCGTATATCTATACCACGAAGATGAGAACCTAAAATTGCTAGAGCTAGTGGAAGGCCATCAGCAAAAGCTGTTGCACGTTGTGCGAGTTCCAAATAATCTTTTGGAGGTTCACTTCTTCCGAATGCATGCCAACTGAAAAGCTCAAGAGTTTGGTTGTAATCTAACTTCTTCACCTCGTATATCAACTCAATTTCACGATTGTTTAGCAATCTCCTATTTTTTGTAGTAATGATTACTCTACTACCCTCACCAAACCAATCATCTCCAGCCAATTTTTCTAACTGCTCCAATTGGTCCACATCGTCAAGAATTAATAGAATCTTTTTATGCCTCAATAGTTTATGGATAATAGAGATACCTTTATCAGCACTGGCAATTTCCAACTTTTTACCACCAAGAATCTCTTGAAGAAGAGTCTTCTGTAGCTGGACTAAGCTTCCTTCTCTAACATTTTCCAAGAAACAACTACCTCCAAACTTATGAGAAACTGCATTAAAAATAGCTTTTGCAATTGTTGTCTTGCCTATTCCAGATGTCCCCCATATCCCAACCATGCGACGACCATTCCCACCCACATCCAAAAGCATTTCCACATCTTGTACATGAGACTGAATTCCAACTGGGTACTTGGCCACATACAAATATGTGGGAGGTAATTTGTTGAAGATTCCATCAACGATGTTGTTGATAAATGTAGCTTCATACCTGCTTGTTTAACCAAATTAGACACATGTAATGAATCAGATTTAAACATCCAACCAAATTATTACTTTTCTTTAATAATGAGTAACAATTAAATGTGTAACTAGAGAAAGAAGAGAGACAAAAAAAAATTTTAACTTGAAAATGATAAAGATAGAAACATACGCTCCCTCCTCGAAATGCCATCCAGACAAATTTGCTGCTTCCGTAAGAGCTTTCCTCCATTCTTGAATTTGCTTGTCATCCTTGAATTTTCTTTGAATAAGGCCTTTAAATGCATCTCCAAAACTATTTGTTTGCTTTCGTACATCCGACGGATCCACCTTGTAAAAAATGGGCAAAACTATTTGTTGCTTTGATTCTTTACATTGAAGGATCTTGACAAGTTCATCCAAGCACCACCTCGAAGATGCATAGTTTTCAGAGAATACAATGAGAGAAATTCTTGATTCTTCAATTGCTTTGACAAGGGCTGGCGATATTTCTTCTCCTCTTACAAGCTCTCCATCAATGAAGGTCCGGATTCCCTTACGGACTAAAGCCTCGTGCAAATGATCTGTAAAATTGGTGCGTGTATCCTCACCTCTAAAACTCAAAAACACTTCATATGAAAAAGAAGAAGAAGAAGAAGAAGAAGAAGAAAAGACTGGTTGAGTTGTCATAGGGGGCAGATCTGAAGAAAGTTGAGGTTTCCCAAAACCAATTGGCAATGGGGTAGTAACCCAACTCCCCATAAACCTGAATAAGAATTTGAACATTGAAGAATTGAAGAAGAAGCAGAGAGAATCTTATCTGATTTTGTATTGATTTTCTTTCTTAATAAAACGATACAGTAAGAACTAAGCTTATATGCATGACAAATAGCTTAAGGCTTAAGCAAACTCAACAAACTCACGTGCTCTCCATGTGCCAAACTTAACTAACTTGTACATTCAGCAACTAAAGAGAATCTCAAAGTAGCGGCCCTGGTTAGATTTATGAGGGCTTGACGAAGCAATTTCCTACCACCTTCCACGAGGAAGTGATTAAGTTAAAGATGGTAGGAACTTTCGTTTCAACTTCAAGTCATCAAAGGCTGAATTCTCTTTTTAGTAAATTTGGCTTACATCCTTCAAATTCAATTTGCCCTACCTACAACCCTTCACCTTTTGTTCCTATAAATAATACCCAATTTATATAAGTAAAAACCCATGACTAGGATCCAACTCAGCAAGTTACCTAATTAAGCATAAAATCTGATTTATTGTACTTTTCAGATTCCAAAAATACCCTCAACTAAGCCATTATTGCATTTTGTATATTAATGTATGAATCAATATAGAAACAGTTTTTAATTGGATTGTATATAATGACAGATATTGAATTTGGAAAGATCCCAAATGGTTGTAATGGATGTAGGAATTAATTTGGAAACATTTTTTAAAATTTAACAATAAATTCAGATTTAGGTAATCGGTTCGTTTAATAAAAATGTTTATGTTATTTTCTTTTTATGAATTATACATGAGTAATAATCTACTTTATAATTGTTTGTGAATAATACTGTACATACTAATTATGTTGAAAAAATAATGTATGTATGACTTGTTTGTTTTATGAAAAATATATAATTTACCTAGTATGAAAAGTGTACCTATTTTTAATTTATAAAAAGTGTACATAATTATATATTCCAATATACCTACATTATACAACATCCAATATACCTACATTAATTTTAATGTACTTACGATTAGGATTTAGGTATTATATACTTATCATTTGAATAATATACCTACTGCGAAATATGTATAGGTAAATTATTATGTATAATTATGGTTTATATGTAGAGCTATATATATATATATATTATTTATGAACGAACATATATTATGAGAATGTTTTGATTTGTTGAGTCCAAGCAACACCATAATGATGGAAAGGCTAGATATTAGGAATTGTTTAGGAAAAATCGTTGGATAACAAAAATGGCAGGGTTTTGTAAATAAGTAATAAGAAATGGGCAACTTTATCCTTCATGGCATCCGTCTTCAAAATTCGGTTTTGGTTGGAAGTAAATATGTAGATGAATTTTTGTATAGACTATTAGAGTTGCAAGGGCCTATTACATAATGACTCTTTTCTTTTCATACTGACGCTGTCTTTAATTTACTGAAGCATCTATAGGTAAGGAACCTTCAAGGCAACTTCTCGTCTTTTTTCCTAGATGTGTTTTCTTTCAATACATGATGGAACGTCTACTTTTTGACTAAGACCTCTTCACTATTATTAAAGCTGGTTTGTATCCCTTATACATTGACTGCATGGTACCTCACAATGGGAGCTCTTTGTCTGGAACTTTATATTTGAGGCTCTAAAATTGTTTTATGTTGTAATTTAGTTTACGTGTTAATGTTCTTTTTTATTTTTTAATTGAGTTATTTATACTAACACCCCTATGGCTTTTGGCATTTTCACAAAACTCTATGGGGTTTCAGAAATTACACAAACACACCTTAAGATTTTAAAGTGTTTTCACAAAACTCATTTTTATTAATTTTTGGGTTAATTTCAATTTAGTACTCTGAACTCTCACCCTTAAAGCATGTTTGTCCATGCACTCTCAATTTGTTATGTACCCCAATCGTTTTAATTTTTTACAATCTGATTTCGGCTATCAAAATTTCCCTTAATTGTCTACGTGGTAGGTATGGGTCCCACCTTTTTGCTGCTTTCAATGTCAATTGAAGGGTATTTTCGATCAATTGGCTGCTTTGATAGTTATCACTTCCTTTCTAACGCGTAGAAGCTTTTTTTCATTAGTTCATGATGATGCTTTTTTCTTTTTAACTAACATCTCTTCACAATTGTTTAGCCTTCATTGACTGGATTCACCTCCTCAAGAGAAATTTCGTTTGCACCTTCAAGCGTAAGGAGTCGGTAACTTTTTATCTTTGACAGTGACACGCTTTTTACTACATGATAAATAAGTACACTATGAAAACATAGGTTCTAAGAAAACAAAAACAAAAAACAAAAAACTATATATATATATATATATATAAAAGACGTAATTTATGCATGAATCTTATCAATTGATTACTATCTTCTCTTAACATGACTCGGGAAATAAAAACATCTTTATACCATCTAAAATCGCTTAATTGGGGGCATCTTAAATTACTCAATTGATTATGTATTCTGGACTGAGTATGACTTGGTGTTCCTATAAAATGTTCAACTATTGTATAAAGGAGAGTATTGACACCATCTTCTATGCCACGACCTATATTTTCATCGAACAAAGGAAGACATTCTTCGTTAAGTTTTATTGCATGAATAATATCATTTCGAGACTCATTAGATAAATGCTTATCCCACCAAGAACGTAGGGTTCCAGTAAAGCCTGTTACTAACAGAGGAACGATTTCAGATTGTCTTAAATCATGATTAGTGATATAACTATTAGCTACCATGGACATATGAGTTAATTTATTCATTATTTCTTGTTCAGATAAACCATCTATATTCCATTCATATTATTTATCAGAAGAAACAGAAAATTGGCTTAAATTAGGTCTTTCTTCAAATTGAATATCAGGTGGTGTAGGCTTAGGGTACCAATTTTTTGTTATGCTTGTAGGATTAATTTTATTGGTCAGTCGTTTTATTTTTAATTCAGATTCTAATTCTAGGTTTTTAAAAGCATTTTCAATTTTTGAAATATTACTAGACTCAATAGACTCTGTATCAGAATCAGTTCCCGACTGATTGGTAAAGGAAGATCCTATAACCTTAAGGCCAGATTTCTCAGGTTTTTCGAGGGTTAGTTGCTCAAGCATGCTTTCTATCTTTTTCATTGTAGATGACGTTTTAAGAGAAAACTTAGGTTGTAGGTCTTGAAACTGGACTATAGGTTTGTCTTTTGTTTTAGGCTTAAGTTCAGGAGGAAATAACTTATCAACCTTATTTTCTATTTTATCTAATTGTTTTCCTACAATAATTAGGCTTTGGTTAGTATAATTATTTTGTTCAACTAATCTCTTATTGGGTTCATCGGCTGAATCAGTGACTTTAAAAGGGCTTGCAACTACAGTTCTCATTCCATGTTTAATAAGAATAGTTTCTACTAGAGGGTGACTGGCCATAATCTCAGACTTGTCAAATTTTGTCCATTTTTCTTTAGTCAAAGTTTTTAATTCATTATATATATAATGGCTTTCTACAAAATCAAGATAATAAGGGCCTGTTCGTTTATGTTTTAAAGGCCCGTTTTTGTTTTTTAAAAACAGAAACAGAGCAAAAACATGTTCGGTAAATAAAAATAGAAAACATCAAAAACTTTTTCATAAAATGAGTTGGACTTCACGTTTACTTCTACAAAACAGAAAAAAGATGTTTTTGTTCTCCCAGAAAACAAACGCTCAAAACAGACTTCTGCTCAATCTCTCTCTCAATTTTCTCTCCCTATCAGAATCGTTCTTCTCTCCTCCTCACTCACCCTTCTCTTCTTTCCCCCTTTCTTGACCACTCTTCTCTCTGGCTTGGCTCACTCCTCTCTTTGGCAATAGTCTCTCTTCCCCTCTTCACCACTAAGGCATTTTGTTCTGTCCGATTGCTCCATCACCACAGACCATAGCTGCTCTTGGAAGATCTTGGTAATTTTCTATATTTTTCCTCTTTCTCTAGCTTTGGGTATTTTGTGCCTTTAGATCTATGGTTCTTTGTTCATGGCTGTTCTAAAAATAATTGTTGTATTCTGTAAATTAGGTTTCTTATATATCTAAAAATTACTGGGAAGAAGAAGAAGAAGAAGAAGAGGAGTGACGCATACCTCAACCTCACATTAACTGAGGTAATTCCTCGTTTTTCTTCTCATTGGTGCTTCATTATTTATTTGGGCAATTTAGCTTTATAATTTTCTCAATTGGGTTCCTTGTTGTGCTTAATTTTGGGATCTTTGATAATGATTTTCATAGTTTTGAGTTGGGTTTTGTATATGGTGGGCAAACCCACGAGTTGATAAAATGAAATTATGGCATGATAATTTTTTTGCAAAGGAAGCAAACTCACGAGTTGATATAATGAAATTATGGCATGATAATTGCTTTAAAAAATCGCATGATAATGGATACCAAAGCCCTTGGCTTTATGCCATTATTAATGGAGATATATCTTGTAGTGTATTTTTTTGGGATCTTTGATAATGATTTTCATAGTTTTGAGTTGGGTTTTGTATATGGTGGTCTGTTTTTCAGTTTACTTTTGGAAGGAGCTGAAGCGATAACAGAGCAGAAGAACAACGACAAAAACCTCACATTGACTGAGGTAATTCCTCTGTTTTCTTCTCTTTGGTGTTTCATTATTCATTTGGGCAATTTAGCTTTGTAATGTTCTTAAATGGGTTCTTTTTTGTGCTTAATTTTGGGATCTTTGATAATGGTTTTCAAAATTTTGAGTTGGATTTTGTAATTGCTCATACCTGTAATTGAAATCAGAATAGTGATAAAAGAGGAACTTTTATATGCACTTTTGTGTTTTGTGTTTGTGTATGTGTTAGAGAGAGAAATAGAGCATAATTGAACCAAATTAATGGCCACAAAATATAGCCTAACAATCAACAGACTAATCCCATAAACCAATAATAATTGGCTAGTTCATGTTCCCTATACTCCACGCCAAGTCAGCAAACTCAATTGAGTGGAAACATAATTCACAATTTGATTTAAGGATAGGTAACACCAAAATGTTCATATTTTTTATGCAAAAAATGTACCACTGGAGCAAGGACAATATATGTTTTCATATTGAATTTTTCTTTGTATTTATTTATTTAAAGGATATGCTTTCTTATTCGTAAATATGTGATTCATATATGTGGTGATGATATGTGCGATGTTCTTAAATGCAATAAATTATTGGATTGTCTTAATTGTTTTTTCTTTACAAGGATATGGCTCCTAAGAATGTTGATGGTGAGGAAAAAGTACAATGGCCTTCCAAACATGAAGAGTTTTTTATACATATATTGCATGATCATGTGAAGAAGGGTGACTTGCAAGCATCAACCTTTAAAACGAAAGTTTGGTCTGAAATAAGCGAGGAGTTGTTAGCAAAATGTGGAAAAAAATGCACTGTTAAGCAACTTAAGTCTAAGTTTAATAGGTTGCGAATTGCACATCGTGAGTTCTCGGACCTAATTGAGCATACTGGATTTGGGTGGGATCCTAATGCTAACACAGTCACTGCCTCAGAAGATGTTTGGGCTAGTTACATTAAGGTATACCAAGCCTTTATTTAAGTTTTTTTTTTCACTTCACTTCACATACTTAAGTGAATTGCTTATGATGTCTGAGTATAATATTTGTCATGGTTTGTAGAGTAAGCCAAGAGCGAAGCAATATCGTACTCAAGGTTTAGTGCACTATCAGCTTTTAGGGGAGATATTCAACACCACTACTGCAACCGGTCAGTTGCGTTATGCCTCTAATCAACTTCCTCCTAACTCAGATGAGGAGCGTGAGTTAGAGAACAATTTCCTTAACACTGGTGTTCATATTGATGTTGACTTGGATGATGATGGTTTTAACCTAGAAACTGATCATGGTAAAGGAAAAAGAAAG